GATTTGATTGAGCGAAGTCTCTTGGACTCCCATCTGACACATGATTCACTGGGGCATTCCCTTGTTTCAAGTCAGGTGTGGCGATTAGGGGTATTTGACAACTAGGAAAGCCCTGGCTTAATTAGTTGTCTGTCTTTTATGGATGGTGCTAGTGGATTGATAAACCCCACGCTTTCCTTCATCCATTAACTCGATTCCATGATTAGCGCCCTTCGATCGCACGTGTGATAAAGAGACAGGGAACCCAAACATGCATTCATCATCCCATAACATGTTGCATGATTTTTAATTTCATTTTCACGTTATCAACGTCAAAGGGGACATATTTGCTTTGACTTCTAGGGAACACGCCCAGATTTAAATTGATTTGTTAAGATTTGGAAATGTTTATTGGCGTAACTTAATGGTGTTTGGTTTGGGAGGCCGATTTTGCGGATTTCCCAATTTTCACATCATTTATGACTCACAAGGGGAAGAGAAACTACATTTGTAAAAAAAAAAAAGAAAGTTATATTAGACTATTGGTTTACATACTTTTCAATGCCATATTTTCTAGGCACATTGCATTTTACAATCTCAACATGCTAATTTATGAATTTTTAAAAAGAGAAACTTAAAAACCAACGTATGTACAGTATTACGCCTTCTTAGCATCAGGGTCAGTACTATGGAAATAATTTCATATGATCAATTATTTATAAAGGGGAGTTGCTAAATTATATTCATGTTTTTTTGAATTGCTATTACCATAATTTTCTCAGCTGCATCCACTTTTCCTTGACTAGATGCATTTCACTCGCCCTAAATGAATTATACATTCATTACCTGAGATTCTTAATGACTTGTAGCGATAGAGGAATTATAAATGATGGTGCAATGAGGAATGTTGGACCTATATCATTGCATACTTGTCGATGCTTTGTTTTCATGGACTTGGAATTGCCGCTCCGATGCTTTTCTGGGTTCGTGCGAATGCAAATACATGCAAAGAAAATTTTCTATCATTATGCCACCTTCAAATCAAATTACCCATCGTGGTTCTACAACCCCAAGTCCACTCATTCAGTATTTATTCATTAGCTAATGTATGCAAATGTCTAGTTTCCCTTCGACCTGGGTTTCCTCCTTAGAAGCCAAGTGCACCAGGTGCAATTCAAAGCACTTCTTGGTTTCTTAGAAGCCATGGTACCTCTTTTGTCTTAGCTAGTTACTGGACTAGTGATGCAACTGGACTGTCTAAGAAAATTAAAACTAGACGCAGACCAAATATTGGCAAATCATAGTTAGAGATATACCATTTGAATTTATGTAATAATTTTACACTTGCACTTACCCACGAAAGCCAACACCTCATATTTCCTTATGCCAAAAAATATCGCAGTGAGATCCGAAAGCATTAAGTGTTTTGGAATGTTTTCCCTTTTCTAGAATCTTCAGGTGATACTTGCATTTTCCAGCGGGTAAAATTGTTTTAGTTGTTGAGGAAGACGAACTAAATCTATTTGTCTTGCACAGACTTGTCGGAACATAAATAACCTGTTCCTTTACTTAGTGGTTGAGAGTTTCCGAGAACTCTAGCCCATGCCCATATTTGTTGCGTGGACTGATGCCAGGGCATTCTAGTCCCTCGTGTTCTAGTTCTAAGAAGCGTGCTAAACCCTCGAATGTGAATTGTTATGACAAGAGTCTCTGCCGAAAACATTATTACTTTAAATCAAACAGTTTTCGCTTTCTAGCTACCCTGAAGTAGAATAGGGACATCGCTTGGAATCACACCACTAAATTAATTAAATTAACTATTTACGTTCTCTACGATACTAGCGCCTTCAGTCTTGCTCTCATTCATTCGAATTCCTGCTGAGGATAATCTCTCACATATGATCCGTAGCACGATTAGCGAATCCATTCTTTCATTCGAGAGGGGAACAAATGACTTACCAGCCTAATGTTCTTTGACGCCAATAAGGATTTCTGTATTCCCCACAGGTAATACTTGATACTTTATTTGTATTGTACATGATAGGTCAATCTGTTAAGGTCTGTTAAGGAAGGAAATGCCGTCGACGAAGTTTTTGACGAAAAACGACCTCCACGAAGAGGAGAGCTTTTATTTAGTATTTTCTCCACGACGCTGATTCGGAAGTTTACTCGAGTAGTTGAAGCACTCACGGGAGATGACTCACAAAGACGACGACTCATTTGCCATCCCTATTCCCTTGTTTACTGTATTTATACCTTGTTTATTCGAGTAAGGGTCAGAAGGCACGACCGCAGCTCAATCATTCCATTACCCATTCATTTATTAGTACCAATTGACCTATTGCCCCGATTGGATGGACCCCGTGGACATTTTCATTTTCGTAGTCGATGTCTATTGAATGGGATCCATGAGATCCAAAGATGGGGAAATTTCATATCCCACTGGAAAGCTTTTGCTTTCGCAAAAAAGGAAAAAAGCCCGTTGAATAAATTTTTGTCACATGAGAAGGGCACATCCTTGAATGCTAAGTAATCCGTGTACAAAATGTAGGCACCCTATATTCAATTATTTGGATGATAGAATTCCAACGGACATGCAAACAAATGACTCAGTGCAATTTACTGTTGTAGTCAATGTTTCTTTTTTCGCTGGTGTTACATGTTGAACCTTCGTTCGGTAAGCCTTCAACTTACCTCACTCCTATTTAAATAATGCTTCATATTTCATTGAATTTATTACCCTTCTCGTAACTGTAAAGGACTGGATTCGAAGCAAAAACCAGGACCACTCACAACCAAAATTTGTTCAACACGTCCTCCATAGTGCATGGTCGGGCTGAGATTCTCTGCTTCTGTCAAGCATTGGAATGTTTCCAAATTTCGCATTGTTCCCTGTCTGCGCGAAGAATGATGGATCTGATAATTTCGATTACAATCGGATTTCCTATTCACCTAACTTTGGCGGCAACTGTCAGAGCGGCCCGAAGTCCTTGTCATGGATATTGTGGAAGCTGTCAAGTCTTATCCTGTTTCACGATTCTTGAACGCATTGAAATTAATCACGCTGTGGTTCTCATGGCGAAAGTAGATAAGCGGAATAACGGAAATGTTTTAATCTGTCACAATTGGCATAGGATACAATAAATTAGTATCGTGATCACATATATTAATAGTAATTTCAACTCCAGACTTTATTAAGTCTTATCGCATAACAGTAAGGATTGTGAAGTCACAATACCCATTTTGTAACATTTCTGGAGTTTGACATTTGATGGCTTCGAGTTCCGAATGCGCAAGCATGCAATGCATTCAATATCTTATTTTACGTAAGCCATATTATTATACCGTGCTATTTTCTTTACCAGGCGATTTCCAAAGATGCAAGCGTTGCAAATTCGCTTTCCCAAATGGTAAAAAAAAACTTGATAATAACTTAAACAAACTAACTATAATAACTTAAACAAATTAACCTAAACACCACATATTTCTGCCCATGTAATCATATATGAAGGAGAAATATCAGATATTTCAACCATATGTTTCAAAAATATCAGCAAGGGATTCAAATGCACGGAAGAATTTAAAGACAAAGGATGCAAAGGAGGGGCGATCTCATCCAGGCTTTCAAGATAATTAAAGGAATAGACAATGACGGATGCGGTAGGTTCTTCCAGTTCGATGGCAGCGAGAGGTAATCAACTCAAATTTCGTAAACCGCATGTTGCGGCTCGGGTTGAAACAATAATTCATTACTTGTGGAGTGGTAACTGAGACGAGGTGGAAGTGATAGGACACGTTCAACTCGAAATGGGAAAACATCAAGGCCATGGAGAGTCGGTTTCTCAGTGAAGCAAAGAAACAGCTTGCATTTGAGATGAATATTTTGCGTTCGAGCTTTAAGTTTCCAAGGCTGGCTGGCAGACATTTTACCTAAATTATTCCATGGTTTTGCAAACCTTTGCCCAAGTGCTCGTCCTCTTCCTCGGATCCCGTAACGCTCTTCGTAAATTTTAATACTGTAATGTTTGACGTCGCAAAAGTAATAATAATGGAATTTTGCCTTAGACAAACAGGACATTATGGTAATCTATATTATAAAATTCTACGGTGGTCTGGGGTAGTCGCCGGCATACGCGCACACAAACGTGGCACAGCCCTGCGTACAGCGCGATCAAGTAACCAAATACTGAAAGCGCAACCCTAGCACAATAATTTTGATAACACGAGAGAAGGAGTATGAAATGCAGTTTTAGACTGCCATCTGCGTTTGTGAAGTGGAGGAATACTCGAAGGGGGATGTCTGGGGTGGAACACGGAGCAGATTCGCTGCTCGCTCCTATTTTCAACGCTTCGATTTTGAAAAGCTTTGAGTCTCTTCTTGAGACTTTTAATGATTTTATGATGATCCCTATTATTCATATATCTTGTGCAGAAAAATAACGGGTGTTCATTGGAAAAAGGCTGAAAATATTCCGAAAAGTCAAGTAACTTCCATTTTTAAAACTCAGTGTAGTTTTGCGTTATGGGAAGTCAAGCATTGTTCATTTTTGCTCACGTAAAGCTTCTATCAATAAAAAAAATTTTCTCCATAACTTGCCAAATATATATATAAAGGATAAATTCTCGGCAAGCTATGAATAATAATTTACTACGTTTTTGCTATAAAATATATTCAAATTCCCATTATAGATTCAAATAAATTAAAATAGACAAGGGTTTAAAAGCCGATAAAGCATGCAAGCACAGTTCAAAAGCACAATTCATAGGGGACAAAGCACAAACTAGATTTATCCAGTCCAATTGTGGGCCTCCTATCAAGGCCTGCTCTAAGACAAATGATTTCCAACGTCCTTCGGCAGTAAATAATTTCATATTCCAAAAAATCCGAAAATGTTAATTTTTGTTTCGAAAGAAACTTGACAAAAACCACAAGATGCTTCATTATTCGTCAAATAATTTTTGCAAAATTTGCCGAAAACAGGTTTTACATATATATGTAATATCGTAGAATAAAGAAAATCTGCAAAAATAATTTGAAGCACATTGGACGGTATTGTTTGCGTTGAATTTCCCTGCATGAATAGAAGCAAAAAGTATGCTTTTGGGGGCGATGCAATTTACGCTTCGCTTGTCCGCGCCTGGAAGGGAATGCTTCCAGCAGGGACATTCCCCTGCTTCCTTTGGACATATTCATCTCCTCCTGATTGCTCCAGATTCTCGAGTTCCTGAAAAATAAATGGTAATTGTTATTATTTCTGTCATTTCATCTGAACCCCTAGAAGCACTTCAGGACGGTGAATTTGAATGTTTGTTATCTCAGAAGTACCACTCAAATACAGGACCGCCCGTCTTTCGTCTCCTGTTAATTACAGGAGGCGCTTAGTTCCATGCTGCTAATGGTGAATTTCCACCCAGGTCTTCCTTTGTAAGATGCATAGACTGCCCCAGTTTATTTCAGCATTTTTTATTCAGTATATTTTATATTTATACGACTTCTCTCAAAAACTATTATGATCGATATCGGTTCTTGATTCCGAAGAATAGCCCCGCACCTTAATTTCTACTGTATCAGAGCTTTATGGAGCACAGAGATACCTAATTACTCCCATTCATCACGGAAAATGTTCCAAAGTGCACCCAAGGACGCCGACTTTCAAAGGCACGCTTCGGTCATCCGAACGCACAGAAATCCAAACCCTGATCAGATAACAAAAACCGTTTGGCAATAACGTGCGGCATGTAAACCTTTCAAAGGACTGAAGGTGATGAGGACAGCTTCAAAAGAGCATGTCATTTTGCAATTCTGAACTTGTGCATTTTGAGGGATGAACCCCTACGAAGAAACTGCCTTGATGCACTTCTTTGCGGAGCCCGTGTGAACGCATGTGGCGACGGACCGGCGAATCGCCTCGCGTTTCATCATAGTCGTTAAAAACCCACGATTTTTCACGGCAGCAGGCGGGAGGCACTGGCAGTGAGGGATGTCCTCGTTCCCCTTTCCAGCATCACAGCAACTCTCGTCTCTTAGTCCCTCCGAAAGATGGCGAGACGGGAGCGAATCTCTGATTTTGCGTGAAAGTTGCCTCCCCTCCCTTTCGTGAGGCCGACTGGGGAATTTAATATCGCAATCTTATATATAATATCAATATAATATCGCATATCCTCGAGTGATAAGGAATATTTTTGTTCGTATTGTATCGTATTCAAGTTCGTACTCGAAGCGTTCGTCCCGTAGAGCTGTCACACACACGCAAGCACACGGTAGTCCATCGGGCAAGCTATCGGTCAGGATCGCGCGTGCCATGTGTTTAACCTCCGGATCTCAATTGCTTTGGAACCGAGGTCTTCCGGTTTGAAATAGAAAGGTTATTTCTATAACAGAAATGTACGAGCAAGTTTCCTGGATCGCCATACTATACTTGCACCTTTCATAGACCAGGTTGCGCTTTCATAATTTTCAGGTATTCGTTTTCCCCTCTCCCATTAATTTTGCGTTCAGGGCTGGGGCGTCGATCTTGTGCTTACTTCAAATTTTGAGATCCTCATAAATGACCCTGCTGATGGTTCCTTTGGACCGCCAGCAGTCTCCGTGTTGGGTGAACTTTTCAAGAATGAGTTAAATGAAACAGAAGCTTTTCGTCACATACCCGGTCTTGCCTTTCGTGTCTGAAATTCACGCCTTTCTTCGTTTCTCGCTTCCTTCAATTCTAAATGATTATATTTGAGGCTGTTCCTTTGGAAACGCGCTTTCCTTCCAAGAAACACGAACGAATTACCATTTTGCTTGATTAATCTTTCATGGAAAGACATTTCACGCAAATCCGTACTCATCCGTCTGTCCGTCTGTCTGCCAAATCCGTCTGTCTGCTAGCGCCATGTGCGCATGCGCGGCGCCTTCTTCTGCCTTGCTCCGGGTGACTGTCTCGCCCTCTCGAGTGAGCACTTTCTTTCCGACCGTTGCAGCTGCCGAATCCATTTTTGAGAACGGGAGAGAGAGGAGTTGTACGTCTTGCGCACCACCCCTCCCCCCCTCCTCAGGGAAAGTTCACACCTCTATGCCGACTTTCCCGCGGGGACGTTTTACAAGTACCTCCTAATAACACGTGGAGTCCCCTTTCATACCATTGGAGGAAGGGTGAGTTCCTCGCCGGGATGAGGCCTCCGCCACGATTTTTATCGGGATCTCGGTCCCTTTATCGATCGGAATCCCGTCATTTGCACTTTCAAAAGTAGAGTGACTCCGGAGGGTGTCAGCGACAGGATCTCCTTTAGATAGGATGGAACAGGAGCGCATGCCCTTGAATTGGAAAGACCCCGTCGACCGCGCAGGTACCTTCCCGTAACTCGAGCGTCTTTCTCACTCATAGGCCTACATGAAAAGTGGTAATGGACTTGACGGACGATATGCATATGGTCACCATCGATACCGGATAAGAGTGCCGCTCAATGAAAGTCCATATCGTAGGCTTGAACACCCCCGTGGTTAAGGGGTGGGACGCACAAGACGTGCAATGTCCGAGAGGCTGCTGCGTAGAGCGTTGAGCGCCGACTGAACTCGTAAATATCCGAAAATCTCGGATATGTGGCTCCATTCTTATTTTGCCTGTTCCTATAAAGATTGCCCTTTAAAAGTGATGTAGCTGTTACCCGTGAATCATTCACGTCTCCCATTTCAAGGCTATTCACCCTTAAAAAGCCACCAAGAGATCTCTGAAAAGAGGTTCGCGGTTCCAAGTGACTAAAAGAGTCTAATCGCTATATGACGCTTGTCACAAGTGCCTTAGCCTTCTTCATGCTCGATCAGTTCCCTAGAAACGAGAACTTAAGAGGATCATCTTCCGCCAGCTTGAGCTGCAACTCGTATATAGTGGAAAGGGATGGGAAAAGAAAATGTGTGACTAAAAAAGATGGTTGGCTGTTGATACGTAAAGAAGCGATTCGTACTGCAGTTAAAAGAATATTAATGGGACGAAAGTGGCATAGAAACGTTTTCGAAAAATTCATTCCAACTCGAACGTTCTGCCTTGTGTGGATACAAAACTTGGATTAAATGAGGAATCCACTAAACACGCATCACCTGACACGCGATGGTTCTTCATTTCGCTCGCTACATTCCATTTTGATGAATTTAACTCTTGCTTCGTGAACCTCGTTTTAGAGGGTTTTGCGACGGCAGTAACTGCAAATATCTCAAACCACTTTTCCTGATAATATGATGAGAAGGAAGACGAGAATAATGCCTTCTTTCTTCCAAAATTTGGAAGCTCCATATAAAGCCAAATCGGACAGATTGTAAAGGTTAGCAGCAGAGCGAAAATTGTTTTCTGAACTACTGTACACTACGTGATTTACACGAAATGTAGTGCCTTACTTTTTTTTTTATCCATTGAGCAGGTGCTAGATCTATGTCCTTTTAGGTGCTGCTGAATAATCTATAAGCAAAAAAATCTTCAAAGCATATCTCATCATACTTGTTTTTGTTTCAAGTCTGGTGTTGTATCAATAACTTTGGAACTACTCAAAGAAGAGCAAAGACATAATACGAGCTCCGATGCCCGATCTTTCACGTAACGAAACGGAACACCCGCTCACCTTGTAATAACTGTAGACGACGAGGAAGAAGTGAACCCCAACGGAATATAAAATGAAGAAACCGACGGCCATGACGATGACGACGGTGAGAAGCACGCCATTCATTTGCGAGACGAGCAGCACGGTGAAGGCGACGAAGGAGACGAGGAAAAGGATGAGGCCTGCGACCAGCGCCACGAACTCCAGGCACAGCCACGGTATCATCAGTTTCCTTTTCCACTGGAACGGTAAACAATACAGTGTACAGGTAAACAATGCAATATACTTCGCAATCTTCAATGAATGACCTCATCCGTTTGAGTAAAATGCCTGATACATTTGAGAGAAATAATATAAGCGCCTCACGATATAATTAATGGAATCGATGTGAATTAATGCTAATGTAAATTAACGTAATTAACGTAAAGCATTATGTGCTTGTAGCACACTAATGATGACGGAGTTTTAAGCCATATATGTATTTGTCTAGAGGCGAATTATTCATTGAGGACATTTTCACTTTACAATAAAATATTTTCTTGCTCATTTTCAAGTTTCTTTCTCCAACAAATTAGTATAAAATCCTCCAAGATGCAAGTAAACCTTTAATTTCAGCATTTTCACAACCGATTATAAAAATCAAAGGATTACTATTGCTTCCGTTGAGTGAACAAAGGACGGATGAATTTTGGACTTGAAACATGCTTTAAAAGAATGAATTTACCGTGAAACTTGTGAAATATCATGAAACTCCTGAGTCCTGATGCTCACCATGATATTGAACTGGCAAATGATTTCTGAATACATTCAATACATTCCGAGCATCAAATTTGAAATCATGAGCACGTTTTTTTTTTACCCTCTCCAAACGTGCCGGAATCATCTACAATTAGTGAAAGATTGAAAGGCTTCGTTCCGTCGTCATTAGCCGATTATAGTCATGCTGTCCAGCCACTTATCGGTTTTGATTCGACTTTATGCAGAGCACTGAGCATAAAGCATACAATATTCTCTTATACCATGCATTATTTTCTCCTTTTTCATTTTTTGCTAATTGCAAGGAAAGAATGCCCAGAGAAAGTTTCCTTTTCGACTTTCATCTGTTGGATACCCGGAGCATGCAGGTGCAGAGAATGAGCTTTTTGAGTTTCTTGATGGTTGAAGTGCATTTAATTCATATTTATGGAATAGTCTCAAATGAGAAACAGCTATTGAGTGGCTCAGGAACAAACCTTCCGGACTCCATGAATGAGAAGGCAATCGAATACGATGAACACGAGAAAGATGACCAAGATGGAGACAAGAAGACACGTATATGCTAGGAGGAAAAAGAGTTTTTAAATAGCAAAAAATACCAAAAATTTCAATCATGAACGTCCATTTATAGGTAAATGATCAAATATTGAAATTCTATAAACTGCAGACTTCCAAATCGTCTCAGAAGCGATAACCCACTCTTTTCCGAAACGTAATCGTGGAAATCCGGTCTATTGAAGCGTCCACCGCCCAAGTCAGCCGCGTTCATCGCGAGGGAAGAGCAATAGCCGAGCTGGAAAATGAAAAGCAGGATAAGACAATGACCACGGGTGTTCTTGGCTTTGGATGAGGTACCTCCATTACAAGCATTCGATATTTCTACTCAGTAAACGTACCTAAGAAAACGAAAACGTACTTAAACTTGTTTTTTTCTTCGTCTTTCATCTTGACACAAACTTGAAACACAATTATCATTATCAAAAGGAGGAAAAACAAGTTCGTGACCAACAAAGGTCGCGAAGACATCTCAGCTGTAGTCAATTCGTTTCACTCGTGTCGAGAGAATGAAGTACTTATTTGAATTGATAATAAGTTATGCTATGAAGTTATGTTACTCTTGCACATGGCCCCGGGCTCTCACGCTTGTCGCTCACGAATGGCTTAAAAGTCCCCAATGATTTCATTCAGAAAACTCAGAAAGATCCGGAAAAAGGAAATGACGAGAACGGGAAGGTTCCAGCTTACCAGGTTGAGGATCGCAATGAGGAGGCTCCCTTCCCTGTTGCTCAAGAACCCGCAGCAGCAGTGTTCTACAACTGGGATCTTCATTTTTCAATGGCTTTTCAGTTCTCGATCTGTAGCATCAAAGAAAAAATTTTCCGAGTGAACGTTGTGAAATCTGTGCAAATGCACGTGAATTCGTTTACTCCTGGCAAGGTAATACATCCAGAATTAAACTGGATGGCTCGAAAGCCCTGTTTTGGGACTCCATGAAAATGACTGCATAAAGGCTCGGCTCAAAAATTTATTGCAAATGATTTTATGGTATTTTATTTTTGATGGTATTTGATACAACTGGGAGTTTCAAGTGTTTAGGTGATTTAGATGAAGAAGAAAAGGCATTCAAACTTCCATCATGGAATTCAATTTTCAGAAGCAAGCAGGTGTTCTTTCAGACTTCTCTCTTAATAGGTTCTGAGATGTTTAGTGATAGTTTCGGTGTAAATTTTTTTCATCGTGATCTTGACAGCATCATTTCCGTGTTCCGCATGATCTCTTCCATGCGAATCGCCTCTTAAATGTAAAAATGAAGAATAGTGACGCTTTCCTGTGTCAGCCACGACATGATTACGTGACGCAGGGACAAATACCAACGAGCATACAGCTGGAAAAAGTCGCATTTCGGCTAATAATCTGAGATGTCCATGAAGCTTTCTCTTTATTCTGAAAAGGTCAATGGGTGGGCCAGCCCCCCTCTCCCCGTCGGTGGATGCACAGCAAATGTCTCAGCAGCCCCAGTGGAATCCTCCTGCGTGCGGGCAGGCAAAGTGCAAGACCCGCGCGGAGCTGGTGCACACTCGTAAAAAAAAAGAGTGAGGGTTTCCTCGAAGGGGAAAGCGAAACTGGAGTTAGCTTTTTGACTCCCTAAAAACGAGGAAGTACAATCGATAACTAATCCTTTGTATTAGCAGCATCCATTAATTTTTTAAGAGCACGAAACGAAGGAGGGTGAGTATTTTTCAAACCAGTAGAAAATGTTAGTGGTTATTCTCAGGAGAGAGAGAAGTGAGCGGCATCACTCTCTTGCTTTTAGGGAGTAAAATAGCTAACTCCAGTTTCGCTCCCTCTCGAAGAAATCTCTCACTCTTTTCTAAGAGTGTAGGACAATAGGAAGATGTCCCATCGTCCCAGTTGGGGGCCAATCTTCCTTCGATGTTTATTTTTTCTGGCTGCCCGTTAAATAAGAAAGAGTGATGTCCGCCGTGAGAGAGGAGGTGAGACCTTATATTGAAGTTCTAAAGTGTGATACCAGTTTGGGGCGTTCCTTATGCCCACTTTTTGGGGTATATTAGGCCCTATCTTTGATAAGTTTGAGAGCTTTACCAGGATTTCGGATACGAATGTGGCGCCCCATGGAGCTAAACGGGATTTCCAGGTACCAGCAGCCTTTAGAGAACATCAGGCTTCCTGCTTGTCCTGGAATGGCATGCTTGAATGTGGAAAAGCAGAGAGGTGTGTGATTGAGAGCCATCAGGAGGGCCGTCCTATCAAGTGGGGGGAGCTCATTATTATTCTACTTGCCTGCTCGGGGAAGGAAAGAAATTAAGATTGTGGTGTCTGCATAGATTCACGAGAGGGGTTGGGATGAATCTTTTCTATTTTATCTAATCACCCATGAGGGAGGGGGGAGGAGCCGAGACACCCGGAAGAGGCGGTGCCCCGATAATGCCCAGGAAACGGCCTATTCATTCTACTAGCTTGAGACAGAGAGAGGGAGAGAGAGAGTTGATAGGATGAGGTTAATCGATGTCGGGGGGGGGGGGGGAGGGATGTGTTTTTGTGCCTGTGATTTGCTTGACCCAGGAGGTGAGGAGGCGGGGTATGCTGATCATGGGGTATTCAGTCCGAAATTGGCGTTTGAGGCCCCCTTGCGCTTTTATTAAAAGCGAACATGTAGTTCTGGTCATCCTCAGGAAAATTTTTCTTATTAAAATAGGAGAGCGCCAGTTCTGAGCGCTTCTGAAATTGCTGCAGTTGCGGAAGAACTGTCTTTCTTAATTCGTACGATCACATCGACGTTTTTATATATGATGTCCTTACCGCATATTTTCCAACCTAATTTAACGGCCCACCATTGAAAGGACACTCAGCATGCAATCTGAGTGCAATTTGAATGGAGCGCGTGACCCCCGAAGGCACAAGGCCTCTCAAAGGAGCTCCGAGGGACCTCCTTTACTGCCTGGTGTTGGGATGCACCGCTCCGTGTTACAGAGATATTGTGGAAGTGCTCCTCATAATTAACGTCTTCAATTAATTGTTTCCGGCAAACCATCATTTACTCCCAGTCCCTCTAACATGATCGTTCAGGGGTGCGCCAGCCCGAAAAACTGAAAATAGGCTTTTCAATAAGAGGAGAGGCGGATAGAGCTAGAGCAGAGTGATTTTTCGGTCTTTCCAGTGAGTTGGGCAAGAAAAGGCTCACGAGGTTCAATCGAAGTAAATATGAAGTTCTCCATGTCGGTCGAAATTACGGTAGGTCTCTCGACGCGTTTAGTAAACTGGGAGAAGCAAACGGAAAGAAACATTTAGGTGTTTCTAACGACGGTGGCCAAAAGTAACTGGATTCTAGGATTCATTCGTCGTTCGGTTGAAAGTAGGAACTCGCGCGTTATTCTTCCTTTATATGTGGCACTGGTAAGAAACCAGTTGGAATATTGCATCCAGTTTTGGAGGCCTACAAACACGGGTGAATTGATGGCGCTCGAGGGAGTACAGAGGACCACGAGAATCATTAAGGAGGTTAGGGGACTTTCGTGCGGGAAGCGCTTAGAAGTGACTGTAAGAGGGGGAGAGAGGGAGAGAGAGGGAGAGAGGGAGAGAGAGAGGGAGAGAGAGAGAGGGAGAGAGAGAGAGGGAGAGAGAGAGAGGGAGAGAGAGAGGGGGGGAGAGAGAGAGGGAGGGGGAGAGAGATGGTTAACCTTTTCATGGCGTATGATCATTAAAAGGATCATGTCTTTTGAGACTGCTCTTGCGGTTACCATTGAACAAAACCTTTTTCATATGGTACCGCTTAATAGCTCTCGAAAAGGGCTCTTCGGTGATGCATCATTCGTTCAGATAGGTTGTAGTTGAGGCAAGCTGGATCAAATAGAAAAGTTGTGACCCGATACGTTTGATTTTTTGTGAAATGGAATTTCGGACGAAAAAATAGAAAATTTCCCTCCTTTTTTTGGAAAAGGGAAAAATATGCTCGCATGCTGCAAGAATGGGTGGATAAAATTGGGACAAAGGCCAAATTGTAGGGGCTCCCCATGTGCGAACAATGGCCTGTTATTCAATATTTTTGGTTGATGATTTTTATAATTAAAAAATTCGTTTTTGAATAAATGAGTAAATATTTGAAATTTTTTGCAAGCTCCGTCTTTATCTGGGCCTGCTCAATATAAAAGGCGGTGAAAATTGTTCCTAGTTATACGTTTTCTTAATCCCGCCATGAAAGGGTTAAAGAGAGGCGATCTCATCCAAGACAATTAAAGGAATACACAATCCCGACCGGTGCGACAGGGCCTCCCAGTTCGACGGCAGTGAGAGAACGAGAGTTAATCGACTCAAGCTGCCGCAAGCCGCCGGTGCGGCTCAGGTCGAGAAGGAATTTCATCACTTGTCGAGTGGCGAACGCGTGGAATGCGTTAGACGACGACGTAGTGGTTGCCCCGCGCTGTTACCTTTTTCTTTTAGCAAAAAGGGACGTAATGTTGATTTACGGGACTAGGCAGTAAGCAACTAGGATATGCTAATAAAAAGTACGAAAATCACAAAATATTTAGCTTTAAGAAGAGTAAGCCTGCCCAAAATTAAGGAACGCTCGACCGCGGCACGTGCTATCAAAATGGGTATTATCACCTCTTGATACCAATAAACTACCTTGATAATCGAAAGAGTGCTATAATGAAAAATTGTTAAATCCATTTTTCAAAGGCTCTCTTCCCCCCCCCCCCCCCTTCTCCTCATGACTCCTTACCCCTTTGACTGCCTTGGACTTAACGGCCCATCCACCCTCTCCTTGCCTAGCATGGCAGTGGAGGTGCGCTGAACACGCAATATGGCGTGAACAGCAGCGAAAGGGCATTCAAAGCAATATGCCTCGATCTAACGACCAAACTGATCCCAGGTAAGGCCCAGGGCCACCTTTCTCGTTCGAACGAATCTCAAACCTCGACTTTCGGGGCCAATCGGCCCCGGGCCGACCGCAAGCCTATTAAGATCTTCACGATTCGTTTCAGCGCCGACCCTTCACCTCACTCTCAATTCACCGAATCATCTCGACTTCGTCTGTGGAAAGAATGCGTCCGCGATTTAAATGCGCGTCGGGCATCGTCCCGACCGTTCGAGGACGTCCGTGCACGAAAGTCTCACAAGATCGGCAACTGTTTACCATTGTTTCGATCTCGCCTCATCACACGAACTCGGTGCAAAATAGGGCTGGGCCATGCATCAAGAAACAGCAGATTGAGACACCGAGAGCGGACGGAGTCGCGAATCCGACACGACGCCGGCGCCATACTCGGCAACGCTCTCGGGCGGAACCGAAGACCGCTGATGAATGACAGCTGATTTATTTTTTATTTTCATAGCAAATTAATGCTTCGCATTCAGCAAAAATGACAATCTCGCGATCTGCGAGTCAAAGTCTTTTTTTGATCGAAGCACTATTTTCCTAAAATGCCACAAGATAGGCTACCAATGGCGAGGGGGGAGGGCTGGCAGAGAAAGAGAGATGATGAAAAAAAATGGGGGAATAAATGTTCGCCGCAATCTCGGGAAATCGAAGCAGGAAACTTTCCGGAGCGATTCTGCGTCGAGAGGGTGCGAAGCAGAGACATGGTAAATATACTACCTAGACTGGACAGGCCGATGGAGAACGCCAGGCAGCCACACGCCGATTAGAAGGGTCAGCCGCCGTCGCGAATGGCGTCAAATCGACCAATAAACACATAGCTTTTCCATTCGTGACGTCACAATACACTGAGTTTTGACGCTTTCCACGACCGGGTAGGCCTAGGCCTAGAAAGGGGGAAGGCGCCTGTTGATTTTCGGGCTCTTTGCCAAGGAGCCATTCTCTTTTTCCCTCTTTTTCCCTCTTTTTCCCTCTTTTTCCCTCTTTTTCCCTCTTTTGCCCTCTTTTTCCCTCTTTTTCCCTCTTTTTCCCTCTTTTCCCTCTTTTCCCCTCTTTTCCCCTCTTTTTCCCTCTTTTGCCCTCTTTTCTCCTCTTTTTCTCTCTTTTTCCCTCTTAACAATTCTGCTGCGCGGCTTGTTCTGTGTCTAATGTCCTTCTTTTTGATAAAAAAAAGTGATTTATCGTTTCCTCTTCCCCTTCCCACTTCCTTCCCCGTGGCCACTCCCGCTTGATAAACGTTATGGCAATACTGACGTAACGATGCTGAACTTGATCAGGAACGAGTTACCATATAGCGAAGGACGGGTCATTTCATCCGAAATGACACCATGTGTTCTCGCGTCACATCCTCGCATACGCATCATAATGAGCAATGAGTGCCGCTTTCAGGCTCGTGCAAGGGATGGAGGGATAGAGGGATGGAGGGATAGAGGGATGGAGGGATAGAGGGATGGAGGGATAGAGGGATGGAGGGATAGAGGGATGGAGGGATGGAGGGATGGAGGGATGGAGGGATGGAGGGATAGAGGGATGGAGGGATAGAGGGATGGAGGGATGGATTGATGGATACATGAATAGCGTGGCGGCGGCTGGCTTGTTCCTTCTCCTTCCCCTTCCTCACCCGCCTAAGTCGATATGTCGCGTCCGCTCGTGACTCCGGATCGGCCAAACAGCTTCGCCTAACAGCTTGTAAACTGACTTTCGTTTTTACACTCTGAACGTAGCGATACGACCGATTTGAGAACCGTTTTGTCAACGTCTTCCTGTGTGCCAAAAGCCAATTTTGCACATGTACTTTAGATGGTTTTCTCTTTTTCCATCCCAATGAAGTCTCGAGAAGTCGATCTCGATGTCTGTGGTATTTAAACCTGCTATATGTAGTATAAGGAGTATAAAGGCCAAGGCCCGCACGGTGCGAAATGAGACGATTGAAACAATTTCAATCGCGCTGTTCCGCTCTTTCATCGACTGACTCCACAATATTCACGATGAGATGCACATGGCCCGGGCATAAATTGCTGACTGAGTAAAAGGCATAGAGTGTATATAGATGTCTCTGGATAGGCCTTCGCTTCCTCGAGAGTTACAAATGCTTCCGCCATATTGGGATGGTCCCGCACGCGTGAATGAATAGGGTGATCGGTTGTATCCCGGCGTGGAGGTCCCCAGGCATATAGCCTGGGGCAAATTGCCTCTTTTGCCCTCCCTTCTCTCCATTCGTCTGCCATGAACTCCTTGCTCGTGCGACTTCAATAAGATGGCGGCCGCGCCTGGAAGAGTGCAGCGCCTCGCGTCATAGGGGGGGCTCCTCCATTTATACACTATGGCAAAAGATGGGTGGCATGTACGCCTGACGATTCGTGTCGGTTCTATTATTTTTTTTTGTCGGAGGAGGTTGGAGAATGAAATATATGGAGCTCGTGGATATTCAAAGGTCCTGTGCTTCATTGCCCTTAATGGCTATTTCAGAAGATGGAACAATTTAGACAAAGCACTCCGCAAAGTATTCCCTTACGTGCTGAACGATTGTGCTATTATTATTCCGGACTAGCGATTCCAAATCTACGGCGCCAAAACCCTTGAATAAAGGAGGACAGGCTCTGCAAACGAATATAATAATTAGAAATCAGTAATGAAATGCGTAATTAGCATTATTAGAAAATTCTTTCACCTGACGCCACGACGAGCTGTTGAACCTGGGATGGTTCAACGGCCTGCCACGTCGCACTTTACCTGGAACGCGTGAGGAATCACGAAGACGGAGAGAAACCACGTGCACTCCCGTTCGACGAAGATCGACGGGCGTATGAGAGTGGGAGGGAGAGGGTGGGAAAGGGAATGAGTCAGTGTGATGTCCCCATGCGCCTCATCCTCGTTTTTGGGCAGATCGATTCAGTCCTTCACCGTGATTTCAGGAGCGCAGGCGAGGAGTCGCGGGCAGGTGAGAATTCCCATGGAGGAGAAAAGAGGGCAAAAGAGGGAAAAAGAGGGGAAAACTCTGAAGCTCTTGCGTCTATGGAACATTTCGGCTCGCGAGTGGAATTTCGCCAGTCAGCTTAGAATGGAAATCCTGATGAAATATTTTGACAGCCGAAACATTGCGGCCTATGGCTTACGATGGCCTGTCCATTATGTACCGGGTGGCAGCATGATATCGAGGAGAATTCATTGAATATCCCGAGGAAGCAAGTGATGGTAATGAGCGTGCTGAAATGTTCCATAGACGCAAGAGCTTCAGAGGAGTGTCATAATTGGCTTGTGCATTTCTTGGAAATCGGTCAGTAAAATCGCCGCAATGACAAACTCGAAATCTACTCATCATGCAATCATCAATATATACTGTATCTACATATATGACACGCTTGGTAAGTCGTGTTGCGACGATATGCAAATAGATACCCAGGCGTTTCATGTATCGTTCGAAAGCTTATGGTCAGTAGGCATGCACCGTGCAATCAGATTCGAAATTTCATAAACGCAGGATGAGTTATAAGCTGTCGTAATTTCCGCCTCTAGGCGACCCTCGGTAGAGCCACGCACGGGCCGGTTCCCAGGACCGGAAGTGAGGTGCTCGATGACCACGAGTTGCAGGAAGGAAAATGATTGCAGAGCACGGGAGACGACGTCGATTATCATTGCTGGTCCTTCCAAGGCGTTGCACAATCATACTATTGGTCCAGGTTTTAGTATTTCATGTGTTTTAAACGCCCGGTAGTGTGTTATTTAATTAGTGTGATGGAGATATTGTGTATGTCTCGCGGCCTCTTGGAGTCGTTATAATACTTAAAGGCCAGCCAAGAAGCATATCGAGGGAATTGGAATCCACTTATTCCATTCATGTAGGAATTATGAACTACTAGCCGACCCGTGGAAAACTTCGCCGAGCTCTCGGACAAGAACTAACACAGTCAACTCTACGCAAGCGACGCATTAAACAATCGCCGATGTGCGAATGCGGCATTCCACACCAAACAATGGAACATGTCGTCAACGAATGCCCGTTGTGCTCGTTTCATCAAGGAGATACACACAGCATCACTGAAAACATTTGACTGGATTTCAACGATTAACATCAATTCCTAACAGTCACTATTCCCATACGAAAGAAGAAGTCAACTCTTCCTTGCTAAGAAACGCTGCGCTGCAGAACAATAAAACCTAAATCATCCGGTGTGGGGTCCTCCAGGCAAGAGACACCGGGCATAGTGCCCTTTTTCATAGAACTAGAAACATAGAAATCCAGGAGTTGAGTCAGCACTTGAACACTACGCGGCAGCAGCTCTCTCTCCATTTACTAGTAATCCCGATTGTAATCCTGGACGAGATGAAGTAAGTCGACGAGGTAGTCGGTAGTTGAGATCCCTTTACGGTTTCCATACCGGCATTTATTCTGCTTGGAAAGGGATTCCAATGGATTCCTACATGTCTGGTCCCATTATATCCGGCTAGTTCTTGAGAACGCCTGCCCTTTCTGGAACAGCTCCCTGCCCAACCGAACCATCGAATAGGTGCAGAAGCGTGCCCTACGCTTAATCTTTGGGCATAAATATGAAACTTACAAAAAGGCCTTATCGACCCTGGGCATCCCATCCTTACAAGGATCTCACATCCTAAATATGTCCATGCCCTCCTAAAAAATCGATCGCGACGGCAGGCTTTGCCGCCCCACCGACAATGTCCACCCATGAACCCGAGAAGAAACATCTGCATCTCTCGTGCAAGGGCATAAGTGCCCCACGCCCAGATTCTACCAGTCAGCAATCCCCTTCGTGACCCGCTTGGTAAAGGAGGAAACTACCAGAGAAGACCGCGACACTGTCTCAATACAATCCCCATAATTTTGTTACCCTTTCTTTGTCTACCCTTTGACGATGGATGATGCTCAATTATTCCAGAATCACGAATAAACCACAATTGTAATTATTATTATTATTATTAATGGCAGGGATTGGACCTCCTAAAACCCTCTCCAAATCTTATAGGTCATGAGTTCCATATGACCCTATAGGGATCCTTTAGGCTTTTCGTGTATAAAAAAAACCTATATGAAAAGCCTATAGACTTCCTATAATAAATATATTTAGGTTTCCTATAGGACTTTTTCGTAAGGGATCCTCCCCCTACGTTTCCCTGTCGTCCTCTGGCGAATGCTTTGGCGCTCTTTTGGCTGCATGCCGCCTGCGTGCGCTTGCAATAGAATCAAATCGATAGTGGAGAGGCATCTGGGGAAACAAGAGAATAATCACGCGCCTCAGACGAGGTCTATCGTCAGTGAATGTGGATCCTACGGAATGTGTTCAGCTCTGAGTCTTTCGAGCGAGTCGGCTCTGTTTCCGAGTGGGTGTTGCTTATTCATCTTGGTGAACTTGATGAGGGCCGGGGGGGGGGGGGGGGCGGTTTCAGGGTTTCCTCTAGGCACCAGAAGACGTAGAAAAAAGGACAGTTTAAACACGTCGACTTTTAAAATAGACAGTGGCAGCCCAGGTACACGTACAGATCTGCCATTCCACTGTTCTCTATACCAGGGGAAGTATCATATTCGCCGCATCTGAACCATCCAATCTTGAAATAAATAATAACTGTCATTGGTACGGCATAGGCGTAAATAAAAAGGGCCCGGACAACAAGACTTAGTCAGTTGCATTGCTATCCCTTCAAAGTGAGACTTGAATAAGTCCGACTTCTCCAAAATTGAAATATATTGAACAAGATGCAAAAACAATATTTCTGGAAGAAAAAGAAACCTCGAACATGGGGAGGGCAACCCCTCCCGGAGTGGTTGCCCTCCCCCTCTTGAAGGCAGTGATGAATGTCATTCGAGAGGACATTGGTCAGCCAGCAACTCAGTCAGGAATTTCCTTCTCTGTCGAGTCTATCCCCTTCATAATGCTCAAAAATCACTTAAAGCTGTTTCGAAGGATCAAACCATTCCTGGAAAATCTTCTTTAAGTTTCTACTTCCCTCTCAAGTCGGACATCAAGAACCATTGCCGCAGATTCGCGAGGAAACCAGATAATGGCGTTTCGAGTCAGACTTCATTCAGTTAAGACACCCCAAAAGTGGCCTGAGACGAGTCAGGGTCAGTGCAATCGGCTAAAATTTTAGACAGACTTGGCATGAAAGTCTGGCTCGACTGAAACAGTGCAACCGGCCCATGGGCTCAGTTGCACCGCTTCGGTCAAGTCAGACTTTGGAAGCATTGTAAACAGGCTCCCAAAGTCAGACTTTTCAGACTTGCCCGAGGCAGTGCAACTGGCCCACGTATAGTCGAGTCACTGGGAATATGGGCAGTAGAAGGAAAAGAAATGAGGCATTTAAGGTCTCCATGATCTTCGTCGGCGGATTTACTCCTACCGTCAAAGACATGACATTCTGACATGCTGACATTCCGACATTCTGACATTCTGACATTCCGACATTCCGACATTCTGACATTCCGACATTCCGACATTCTGACATTCCGACATTCCGACACGGATGCCACATGGGTCTTCCCTTCAGAGGTGAGTATATGTTTTTTCTTGCAGTCTTTACGATCTCCTCATGCAAGCAGTTTCATCATGTGGCGTCCCTGTTATTCCCGAGAGGCCAACCACTCATGCTCACATTTAAAATTCCTGCTGTTCTTGTAAATAAAAACTCCCTGTGGCAACCCTGTTTTTCTAATCTGGAGATTAGGGGAGGGGGCTGTCAACTAGTTGACATTTTATGACTCTAATAGGGTGACCTGTCAAATTCGCCGACAAGCCCGCCATATTCTCAGTGACTCAAACACACTCTGGTTCGTCCGTCCGCGTTGCGTGGAGATGGGAGAACACATGGAGTGTAGGGATGCAATACGCGACATTTCACGCGTACGCCTAGCAACCCTTTCTACCCTTTCTGCTTTGAACAGACGCTCTCGCCCATTATCTACAATGGATCCGTCAACTGCCAGGGCTGGAAGGGAAGTGGATGTTTTAGTGGAAGACGACCCAGGCGGAAAGCCGCACAAAGAAGAAAAAAAACGTGAGAGACCGACCGCAATATATGGCATTTCCCCATAGTCCCGATGGGAAAGCCAAAAAATTAGGAGCGACTTTCAATCGCGCCAAACCTGGCTCAAGCTCCACGACAATTCGTTGTGATGATTCCTTGCCATCCAAATCGACCAATATCAAGTTTCCCTGTCCTGCTTTGCCTGTGTCCTTGCTTTGCCGTGAGCCTAATTTCGAGAGAGCACCAAGGAGCCACAACAAAATATCAGCCGATCTGCCGATGCATGACCTTTATATTTAACGCAAAGCTTTATACTTAAAAGTCATGTTTTTTTATATAGAGATTTATTGCTCGTGGAAGGCAGGATTTCTCTAAACACTTCCTCATCCACTTCAATATGAAACGGTAGAGAAGGGCAAAATAAGAAAATAACAGAAACAGAGTCTGAGGAGATTCCGAGTTTCCATCTAGGGCGAGCACCAATCGCGATAAAATTCGCAGTGAGTCCAAATTTAAAGAAAAGAAATCGGTTTCGTCAGGAAACAGGATTATTTTTTTATTATTATTTTATTTTAGGGACATGGAGGCATCCCTTCCCAAAGAGGAAGCACGCACCACTAGGTCATGCGTCGATCCTTACGCCGACAGGAAGCACGTCCTCCTAATCAGCTTATCATCTTGATCTAAATCTAAATCTAAATCTAAAGCTTATCATCTAAATCATCTTACTGGTAAGGAGAAATTTTCCATTTCTCTTTCTTTCCTCTGGGAACAT